GGGAACCTGCTCGATACCATGAGAAAACTAGAACGAGAATGATTGTACTATGAAAGAGTTGGGTACAAGTGCTAACCCTAGTTGGGTTGTACCCCTTATGGGCTACCCTACTACAGCCTACACAAATGTATAAGCTATAATGTTCTGACATGGCGGGCAGGCGACCGCTGATGAGATGAACTGTGAGGGGGCGAACGATGAAGATGCGAGCAGCGGTCATGGGATCGGCTTCGCGACGCCACGCGACGAGGCAAACGAGGCGACAGCGGCGAATGGGCCGCACTGTGACGATCATCGCGACGGCTCTCCCGCTTTTCGTCGCGAGCTGCCGATGAGCGACGGCGAGGCGAACACTCCTGGTGCGCCACAGCCGCTGCGTCGGAGCGCTAGACGGACCTCGCGCGTAGAGGCTCCCGCGGTGACAAGGACCTGCCCGCACGCGGAGCCAGCTCGCGCCGCAGGTCCTCGAAGCGGCGACGGATTTGATCAGCGGACGGCGGCGGAGCAACAGGTACTCTCGTGGCAGGGCGTGGAGGAGGAAGCGGACGGGGAGCGGGATCGCTCTCCGCGGTGCAGTCGCGGCCCAGAGCGCCGAGGAAATCCATCGGTGAGCGCTCAAGGCGCTCTACTGCCAAAAGAGGAGCCGACGGCGCCGATCTCCCATGCGCAACCGGCGGCACCTGTGGCAGCCACTCCGAGGAGCGGACGTGGAAGCACGCGGGGGAGAGGCGTGGGTCGAGGAGCGCGCGGAGGACAGCGGAGTGCAGGCCAAGCGGCGAGGGGGAATCCGTGCCAACTACCGAGCCCAATCTGGTTGGGGGAGCCGGTAGAACGAGTCACGCGCCAGTCGTTTGCTAGACGCGGGGGGAGAGGGGGAACGACAGCGCAAGCAGTGAGAATCAGTGATACAAACGCAGAAGGGAGCGGTGATGAATATGTACCGTTAGATCTGAGGCAACCTGACAACCCCGACTCACCTCCCGCGGAAGCGGGGGAGGACCAGGCGCAGCAGCAGGAGAGAGGTTCTAGTCGCCGACAAAACCGCAGACCCCAACCCCCTCCGGACCAAGCCCTGTCAGCGTCCCAGCTGGCATCGAGGGAGGATCTCTTTGAGATCGCGATGAGCTGGGACTCTTCAACCCTAACGTCAACCACCCACCTTCCTATCGTCCGCCGCCTGCCGCCACAGATACTAAGCGACTACTCCACCTGTATGCTGGCCGCCCTCTTACGGATCTCCAAACTGCCAAACTGCGCGGGAGCGTGGCAGGTCCTCATGTTCCTGCCACGTCTCACCTTACGACTTAGCCGGAGGCCCTGCTCTAGGTGGAAGGTGCTGCGAGAACAGATGCACTTATTCAGATGTGGCCACTGGAACCAGCTATACAGTGACTACGTGGGGTTCCTGCACCAAGCTGAGCCACCTCAGCACCAAAATGACCCCCTCGGAATCTTCTCACGTGTGGAGGGGTTGGTGAAACGGGGTAACCTGAGAAAAGCGTTGGCAGCCCTTTCACCCTCGCCAGCGGCCCCTGCGACGATCGCAACACTGCAGCAGTTGGAATTGAAGCATCCCCAACCCCAAGTTGAGCTGCCCGACTGGGTCCACACCTACACAACACCCACGAAATTTTCATGCACCACGGAAAGTTTCTCAGACGTCCTTGGGGATTGCCCCAGCAGAGTTGGGGCTGGTCCATTTGAACACTACTGCGACCCAGCCCTAAGCAACATCGAATTGCTGGGGCACCTGCACTCCGTCGTAACACATCTTCTCTCTACGAATCTTTCCACCGAGGTTGCAGCACTATTCTCGCCATCCCGCCTCATAGCCTTCGCGAAACCAGGGGGGGGGGGTACGCCCTATCGCGATAGGGGAATCCCTACTCCGGTTGGCAGCAAAGGTGGCACTCTCGGAATTGCAGGGAGAAATAAGGCGATTTTTCTTACCCCAACAAATCGGTGTGGCAGTCCCTAGCGGAGCTGAGTTCGTTATACATGCAGTCAGAGACCTCACCACTTCACAACCTTCCACCCTAGTCCTCCAACTCGACATTGAAAACGCTTTCAACTCCGTAGAGAGGAAAGCGTTCTTAAACGCACTCACCAAAACCCTGCTAGCACCGCTCATACCTTTCACCCGCTCCTTCTACGCAACGCCTTCTCGGCTGCTGACCGATCCAAGCTTGAGCACGACGGCACTTACCAGCGGAAGGGGAGTTAGGCAGGGGGGCCCCCTTGGACCCCTGCTGTTCACGGCATCAATCCAGCAGCACCTCAGACGCACAGCAGTAGAGCACCCAGAAGTCACGATCCTAGCATACGCAGATGACATCACCATGATCGGACCGGCGACAGGAACGCTCGGCGCGCTTAAGTTGCTGATGCCGCTGCTCGCCCAGGATGGCCTCACCTGCAACCTCAGAAAATCGTCGGCGTGGTCCACGACGCCGCTCGAGGGTGACGAGCTCCCCGAGGGCCTCCCACTCACCCACGAGGGGGTACGGGTGTTGGGAAGTCCCGTGGGGTCACAACGCTTCTGCTCTGACCTAGTCCGTAGTACTCTGACAGACGCGGCGGCACCCCTGGGCTCCCTAGCATCCATTCATCCACAGCATGCCCTCCTGCTCCTATCCCGCTGCATCAGCCGCAGAATCGGCTACTTGCTACGCACCACCCCAGCGGATGTCCTTCCCCTCTCGGAATGGCACACGTGGTGCGCCGAACTGCTCAACACCGCCCTGACTGCCGCCAGCATCCAACCACCCCGCCGCGAAGCCGAGTTCAATTTTCTCATCCGCCAAGCAACCCTCCTAGTGGCCCTAGGTGGACTGGGCCTCACGGATCCCACAACAGAAGCAGCACCAGCCTACCTGGCCTCAACAACAGAGGCACTACGCCTGCTCCGCTCACTCGACCTGCCAGCAACCGCGGCGCTGGGGAGCAACAGCAACGCCCTACAGCCGGCGGCGGCACACTCGGTCACCATCCGAGACATGGAGGGACGACTGCCGCCGCTGGCGCTGCAACACCTCCGGGAGGAGCAAGAAACCCCGTCCCAAGACCAGCTGCAGCGGGCCCTCTCGCAGGAAGTGCACGTGGCAAAGGCTGACGCCCTGACAGAGGAATCACGCACAATAAGGTCAGCCCCCGAGATGGGCCACACGCTCCGCCTCGTCAGCCTGAGAGGCAAGGGAGCGTGAGCATGGCTGCAGGCCCTACCCCTGACTCGAGACCTCTGCTTCTCACCAGGGCAATTTCGAGCAGCCCTGGCCTTCCGCATGGGCATCCGACAGAACGTACCTACTGTGTGCGAGTGTGGAGAGCTCGTGGCCGACTGCAGCCTACCCAACCACCTACTCCGCTGCAGCACAGACCCGGACAGAACGCGCACACACAACCAGCTGGCCTTCGCCGTGGCAAAAATGGCTAGGGAGGCGCAATTGGTGGTATACCTGGAGAATGCAATGTACTCACCACCGGATGACCCGAAGAAGGCCGACGTGATCGTACGCGACCCAAACATCGGAGAGACCTGGATCACAGACACGACTATCACCGACCCTGTGCTACAGAACCGGGACCCCACAGCCCGCAAACCCCCGGGCTGGGCTGCAAGGGAGGCACAGAAGCGGAAGGAAAGGGACTACTACCGGCACACAGAACACGTGGTGTTCTGCGCCCTGGCCGTCGAGACTTATGGGGCAAACGCGCCCCCCACGACGGCGTTCCTGAAGCTGCTGGCCACAGCAGCAGCTAGGAACCGCTTCAGGGCCAACCCGCTGGCTAAATCGGCCAAGAAGATGGCCTGCCACTTCAGCCAGCGCTGGTCAGTGGCCCTACAGCGTTCCCAGGCGAATGCCCTGCACACCAAGGCCAGGGCGGGGATCGAGGCAGCGCACCCCCAGATGGCGGTGGACCCCTGGCCGTTGCACCTAGGGGACATCCTCCACACGCTGGAAGGGTAGAGGGGCAGCGAGGGGGGAAGGGAGGGTCAGAGGGATGGGTTGAAGGGTCGGAAGGTATAAAGGTACCACGTGTCAAACTGCATGTCTGTACCCCCTGCTGAATTAATACAAAGGACCATTTGAGAGAGAGAGAGAGAGAGAGAGAGAGAGAGAGAGAGAGAGAGAGAGAGAGAGAGAGAGAGAGAGAGAGAGAGAGAGAGAGAGAGAGAGGAATGGCCTAGTTCCAATCCTCAGCCGTTTTTAGGCCTCTCTAGCCTAGTCTCCTGTCCTTAGCCGTTTTTAGCCTGTTCTTCCTAGTATAAAGCCCCTAGATCTCCGCCCATGGGGCTCATTATTCACTGGTGAGTTCAGTTTACTCTCCAAAACCAGCGGCTCGTTCGAGAGAGAGCGAGAGAGAGAGAGAGGAATGGCCTAGTTCCAGTCCTCAGCCGTTTTTAGGCCTCTCTAGCCTAGTCTCCTCTCCTTAGCCGTTTTTAGCCTGTTCTTCCTAGTATAAAGCCCCTAGATCTCCGCCCATGGGGCTCATTATTCACTGGTGAGTTCAGTTTACTCTCCAGAACCAGCGGCTCGCGCCGGCCGCCGGGTGGCAAGGGAGTAAGCTCCTGGCAGGTCAACATGGGGCAATACAAAAAGGAGGCATAGATCTACGGCAGGTACAACAACACCCCCGGGCGTGAGCACACCGCCATGGGGAAGCCCAAACCCAGACCCGCTACAAAGGGGCCTGGCAAGGGGAAGTCTACTGCTACTCAACGAGGATCCAACACAGCCTCCCGTCTAGCCAGCGCAAGACGGACGCGGCTGCCGCAACAAGGTCGAGCGGGTCGCCCCGGGCTGAAGCAGCAAGCCGCGCCAAAGCTCCAGGGCCGGGCCCGAGGGCAGCCCCAGGAGAGCCCGGCACATAGCCAATCAGGGGGAGGTAATGCTGCAGCTCCTCCGCCACCGCCACCGCCGCCGACTGCTCCGCCGGCTGCATCGCCTCGATCTGCACCTCCTGCTACATCAGTGTCACGTGCAGCTGGTCGAGCACATATGACAGGAGTGTCATGCACGTCCCAACGTGCATCACGCGCTGCTCGACGCGAGTTGGGGGCGCGCCAAGAACCAAGGCAGGGGGAGGAGGCGGGCTCGGGGCATGCGGGAAGTGTGACGGGGGAACTTGGGGCATTGGGGGACGAGGCGGTAGCGGCTGGAAGGGTAGGGGAAAACGCCGCAGTGGGGACTGTGCTGGGGGTCGTTGTGGTGCCCAGGAGGGCGGCTGGATTGGTGCTTGAGGGAGCTGCTGCTGCTGCTGCGACTGCAGCTGAGACGGTGGCGGACCCTGTGTTTGCCGGCGGTTCTCCCGCTGCCGTTGGCGGCGGCTCAACTTCACACGCTGCCGCCCCACGGGCGGCACAGAAGGAGGCGGCGGAGCCAAGCCCGGGCGTGGATCAGGATCAGACCGCGGAGGCGGTGTTGTCGGCGTCACCGGCGCCGGTAACGGCGGCTGTGCTGGCGGCAGTGGTGTCTGCTGCGGCTGGGGAGCAGGGCGCAGCCCCGTCGGAGGTTGACGCGATACCTGTCGCTGCGAACGCCGGAACGCGTGTACTTGCCGCGGCCGCAAACAGGCAGGAGCGCGGCCAGACGGAGGGTGAGTTTCTGGGACCTGCGAACGGAGCCTCTGCCGGCGCTGCACGGGCGGTTTCGAAGAAGAAGCCGCGTGCCCAGCCAGCGCCGAGACGGCCCGGAGCAGGGCTGGGACCTGGCTCCCCGGGACCCCTCCTGGGCTGGCTTCTGCAAGGGCAACCGCCATCTGAGCGAGCGCATCGGTCGTCATCGGTGAGCCAGCGAGAGGTGCGGGAGGAGGTTGAGGCTGGAAGTCGCCCGCCCGAAATCTCCCGGGACGCTTCCGCCCCCAACGTTACACCAGCAACGGCAGTGCACGCTGAGGCTCCAAACACCACGAATGCCGTTGCACACAACACCCGCCACGCGACGCGATGAGCGGCAATAACCTGGGGACCGCCCCGCGGAGGTCGGACACCGTGGCTGCCGGCGGGACGTGGAGCTACGGGCGTAGTGGCAAGAGCGCCAACAAGCGCGGGGAGGACTCAACGGGGGGGCGGTGCACGGGGAGCGCGCGGAGGGCGAGGGGGAAGGGCCCTGGTAGGGGGATCTGAGATCCCTGTGCGAGTTGGCACCTGGCGGGAACGCCACGACAGACCAGAGGCGGGGGCAGCACCAACGAATGAGGAGGACGCAGCGGGCTCTGAGGACAACGGTGGCGACCCAGAATTTATGTGTGGGGACGAAGCTGAATCTGAGGAGGTGTCCCTGGAGGAGGAAACTGGGTTGGACAGGAATGCACCCAACACACGGGGAAGAGGGTCGAGGGGGGATGGGCAGAACCAACAAGCTGTGGGAGATACAGGTGGAGCAACGGATGCGACAGATGTCTTCTCGCCTACGGAAATGGCGAAGGACGAGGCCATCTGGCAAGAAGCTGGGGGTTGGGATATGCAGCAACTGCAACGTAGTGACCAGCCCTTCCTTGTCCGCCGCCTACCTCCACAAATCCTAGACAAATACAGCCTCTGTCTGCTGGCGCCACTTCTGAGGCTGGAGAAGTTCCCCTCGTGCCTAGGTGCGTGGAAGATTCTTCTCTTCCTACCGAGGCTTACACTACGACCCTCTCCCGAACCTGTTGTTGGGAGCCGCTGGGCTCGAATTGAGGCTCGGCTGCAGCGATTTCAGCAGGGGAAATGGGAGGGACTTTTCAAGGAAGCTGGCATTATCCCCGATACCGAAGCCCCGCTACGACACCAACCGGACGACGAAGGTGTTTGTGCACGTGCCGAAGGGCTAATGAAAAAGGGCAATATCTCGAAGGCGGTTGCTGCGTTACACACCAGCCCACTCGCGGAACCCAGTTCGGCAACCCTCGCTGCACTCCGGGCGAAACACCCACATGCCGAAGACGATCTCCCAGCCTGGGTAACAGGGGTAGCAACTTCTGAGCTCGCCATCCAGATCGACGCACTTCGCGAAATCCTGGCGAAGTGCCCGAATGGGGTGGGTGGGGGGCCCTCTGGAACGTGCTTCGAGCACCTCAGAGATCCTGCTCTCGCAAATGAGGAGATATTAATTCTACTCGCCAAGACAGTTAACAATTTCCTTAGCACTTACCAGTCACTGGAGCTGCGCGACCTTGCCCTATCCTCACGCCTGATAGCTTTGGAGAAACCGGGGGGTGGGGTCAGGCCTATCGCGATTGGCGAAACATTGCTTAGAGTAGTAGCGAAAGCAGCTCTACACTCGCTCGGCCCCAAGATCCGTGAGTTCTTTCTCCCGGTCCAATTCGGCGTGGCCATCCCGGGGGGAGCGGAGTGCATCATACACTCGGTTAGAGCGCTACTACAGGAGGACGTCTCGCGGATCGCGCTGCAGCTGGACGTAGAGAACGCGTTCAATAGCGTCGAACGCAGGGCTTTCTTTGAGGCGCTGCAATGGTCTAACCTCAACCCCCTACTCCCCCTGGTCCGAAACCTCTACGACGGCCCATCGAGGCTCCTGGTCGACCAGCGTTTTGACACTGAGTACATCTTGAGCTCCCGCGGAGTTCGCCAAGGCGATCCACTCGGCCCGCTCCTGTTCGCGGCGGCGATCCAGCCAGCACTGCTGAGTGTGGCCACTACTCTGCCGGATGTGGCGATCGTTGCCTACGCTGACGACATTACGATTGTCGGCCCGCGTGAAGCCGCCTGCCTCGCCTTCGACACGATCGCTGCGGCTTTGGGAAAAGCAGGACTGCGATGCAACATTGCCAAATCAACGGCCTGGGGGAGGAACGCGAGCGAGCAGCAGGAGAAGTTGCCGCTTGCGCTGACCTCGAACCCGGGAGGAATCAAGGTGTTGGGCAGCCCAGTTGGGACTGATGACTTCTGCACTGACCACGTACGGGCGGCGCTGGGGGAGGCGGCATCACCGCTCCTCCTCATTTCACAACTGAACCCGCAGCCCGCGCTCCTTATGGTCTCACGCAGCATCTCACGGCGGATCTCGTACATGCTCCGGACGACCCCGGCTTCAACACTAAGTGCGCGAGAATGGAGGGAGTGGAGTGAGGCTCTCCTGGGCTCGGCGCTCACCGCGGCGAAACTACGGATCCCCACCTCCGAGCTTGAGCAGAGCCTGCTGTGGCGTCAGGGGACACTTCCCATCCGCCTGGGTGGCCTCGGGGTGATCGACCCTATCTCTGAGGCACCCGCGGCATACCTGGCTTCAGTCACGGCGGCACACATCCTACTGAGGCAGCTGAACCTGCCAACGGACTGCCTCCTGAGCCGGGCGACACAGCTCCTCTCCCACGAGTGGGCCCCACTGCCACCTGAGACCAACCCCAGAGCCACGATGGAGGGTAACCTCCCTGCTGAAGCCCGAGCAACACTAGAGCAGTACAGGGCAGGGGGTCTGGGCACTGGGAACCTGCAGCTGGGGCTGTCCAAGTCTATCAACCAGCGGCGGGCGTTAGAACTCCTAGCAGACACACTACAGGACCGGCCGGGGGAGGACAGGGGCCACGCCATCCGCCTCATCAGCCTCAAGGGGGTGGGTGCGGGTGACTGGCTCCATGCCATCCCAACGAGAGGAGACCTTAGCTTATCCCCTGGTCAATTCTCGATGGCCTTGGGCCTGCGGTTGGGCATGGAGCTGCCGGTCGCCGAGGTGTGTCCGTGCAAGCGGGAAAACGCGACGATCGCCGATAAGAGCCTCCCCAATCACCTCCTGCGGTGTGGGGATGGCGGGGACGTCGTAAGGACCCACCACGCCCTGGTTTTCGCGGCTCTCAGGATGGCCAGGGACGCGGGTTACAAAACGTTCCATGAGACCACGGCTTTCTCTCCCCCCGTCCTCCGAAAGCGTGCAGACCTGGCCATCCGAGACCAGGAGTCAGGGGAAACGTGGGTGACGGATGTCACAGTCACGGATCCGGTATTGCAGAGGCGGGATAAGAGAGCCAGGAAGCCGCCTAGGTGGGCAGCGGAGGAAGCTTCCGAGGGAAAGCACAGGCTCTACGAGGGCCGCCCTAGCTACGCTGGGTTTTCTGGGCTGGCGGTAGAGACGTATGGGGCTCTGGCTAAGGACACGCAGCAGTTCATCCGTATGCTAGCCACCCATGCCGCCAAGACGAAATACAGGAAGGGACGCCTCACGACGACCGCCGCCCGACTCAATGCACACTTCAGGCAACGGTGGTCAGTGGTGCTCCAGCGCAGCCAGGCGATCTCCATCCTTTCCAAGTCAAACCGTGCAGCGGAAGCGGCTTTCCCACAGGCAGCGGCGGACCCTTGGGCACCTCGGCTAGGTGACCTATGGCAGACCTTGGAGGACGAGTACGATGAGAGACACGCCCCTGTCAGGGCGGCCTGAGGGGTTGAGGGTGCCAGGGAGAGAGGAACATGGTGACAGGAGGAGGAGGGGTGGCGGCAGGGGAGGGGTACATGGGTGCGGTGAGAAGCAGAGGGGGGTGTGCTGAGAGAGAGAGAGAGAGCTCCGAAGGACGAGTACGAAGAGAGACACGCCCCTACCAGGGCGGCCTGAGGGGTTGAGGGTGCTGGGAAGATAGGAACATGATGACGGGAGGAGGGGTGGCGGCAGGGGAGGGTTACATGGGTGCGGTAAGAAGCAGGGGGGGGGTTGTGCTGGGTCGTAGAGGGCGCCTCAGGGAAGGTGTGAGGAAGCTGCGGGGGGGGGGGAAGAGGGATAAGGTGTGGCCCTAGGGTATATGAGGAATAAGGGAAAGGTGGAATATGGGGTACTCAGGTACCTGTGCTGCTGTGGACTGGGCTGCTCTGAGTGCTAGGGGAACTGTGTGCTTCGGCTGGGCAGGCTTGCTCTGTTTGTCTGTTAGTTCGGGTTTCCTGGTTGCTTCCATGTTTAGTCAAAGTAGTTACCACCCCTTGCCATGCCTGTACCTTTGTGACCCATATAAATGCATGACTGCTTGAGAGAGAGAGAGAGAGAGAGAGAGAGAGAGAGAGAGAGAGAGAGAGAGAGAGAGAGAGAGAGAGAGAGAGAGAGAGAGAGAGAGAGAGCGAGAGAGAGTGAGAGAGAGAGAGAGAGAAAGAGAGAGAGAAAGAGAAAGAACGAGATACAACATGGTGGGCATGCATGTCCATGATTCTACGCACCAGCCCCCATGAACTACGAGTAATAGAGAGCATGGAAGAGAGAGGGAGAGGGAGAGAGCGGGAGAGAGAGAGAGAGAGAGAGAGAGAGAGAGAGAGAGAGAGAGAGAGAGAGAGAGAGGGTGAGAGAGAGAGGGAGAGAGAGAGAGAGAGAAAGAGAGAGAGAGAGAGAGAGAGAACGAGAGAGAATAAGAGAAACACAATGGACAAGTGTGTCCATGGCCATAGCATCATCTCCCATGCACTAAGGGCAGGCACAACCACATCCTACCGAGTGCACGATGGGGCGAGGAAAAAAAAAAAAGAGGAGGAAACGAGGAGAAGAAGAAGCGTCGTTTCGCGCCCGACACATTCGTTGACATTTCCGTCGGTTTTTCATTTTCTTCACACATTTGATCAATGGTTGCCCGTACATGTACATGCACACGCATGCTTCAACATGGAATACTCAACCCGTATACCACTTGGCCTCCAATGTACAGGAGCACGACGATGCGAGGCGGCATGCTACGATGACCCGTACGAATTTGCCGTTACAAACAGAACTATTACACAGATGCGCGGTCATCTTCGCACGACCTTTGTGTGGTGGAGCTCATGGTGCCCTAGAAGCCTCGTTCTCTCCGTCATCGCCAAGGGTTACTGGTTGCCATGGAGCCACGGCCCACCACAACCTTTCCACGATCGCAATCATGTCGGGGCAAACACGCATGCCACGTTCACACGTACCTCCATCCAAGAACTCATAGAGACGGGAGCGGCAGTTCCGATGGCCGCAACGAAGCTTAAGTGCATAAGTCCACTTAACGTGGTCGAGCAAAAAGACAAATTCAGGCTCATTCTTGATCTGAGGAAAGTCAACGCCAACTTGACTGTCCCCAAGTTCAAGTACGAGGGGCTCAGCCGTGTCACCGACCTGGCGTGTGTTGGGGAGTGGATGTTCTCCATTGACCTCAAATCTGGTTACCATCACATCGACATCCACCCATCGTGCTGGAAGTTCCTTGGCTTCAAATTCAATAGCCACACATACGCATTTCGTTCACTACCATTCGGCCTCGCGACGGCTCCATTCGTCTTCACACAGCTCATCAAGCAACTAGCTCGGCGTTGGCGAGAAAAAGGCATCCGAGTCGTACCTTACGTGGATGACATCTTATTTCTCTACCGGTCGAAAGCCGATGCGCAAGCAATCTGCCAGCAGGTGATATTGGACCTCAAAGAGGCAGGCCTTGTGATAAACGCGAAGAAATCACTACTGTCACCATCGCAACATCTCCGATTCCTGAGCGTAGAACTGGAGACCGACACCGGCCGATTCTCCATCGGTCCCGACCGGCGAGCCTCACTACATGCAACCATCCGGAACCTCCTGAGCGCAAGCTGGGCATGCCGACCAGTCCCGGTCCACCACATAGCCAGAATCACTGGCATGCTTGCATCGATGGGTGTCGCACTTGGCGCGACCACTCGCGCATTCAGCCACGCTATGTTACAAGTGATCAACAAAGCACCGTCATGGAAAAGCAGCGTGATTATCCCCCCATCTGCAGCAGAGGAGCTCCAATTTTGGCTCGAGGAGTTTGACCGTTTCAACGGCGCACCTTTTCACGTCAGGAACAGCTACGACGCGGCAATCCATGTGGATGCCAGCTCTCATGGTTGGGGCGCCACTCTGACCACATTTTCGAGTGGCCTCGAAGAAGCTAGCGCAACCATGTCAGAGCCGCTACGAGGAACGTCCAGCACGCGGCGGGAGATCGAAGGCGTCCTTTGGGCGCTCCAAACATACGCAAACAAGATCAAGCAAAAACACGTTCTCGTTCGGGTGGACAACCAGGGCGTGTTCTTCTTCCTTCGCAAAGGCGGCTCTCACAGCCCCGACCTCACAACGGCATGCAAGAGCATCATCCGAGCATGCATGAAGCTTGGCACGTGTTTGATCATCGAATCGATTCCGCGCGAGCTCAATACACACGCCGACGAACTTTAAAAAATGGTCGACCACGACGATTACGCGCTGAAAACGCCGTGGTTCCGCATCTTGGAACGTCGTTGGGGGCCCCACTCCATCGACCTCTTCACAAACTCTCGCAACACCCAGCTGCCGCACTTCTGCACAAAGATTCCCCACCCAGAAGCCATCGCAGTTGATGCGTTCTCGATCGCGTGGACACCCGAAAACAACTTCGCCTTCCCCCCGCCCCAACTGGTCCCAACCGTCCTCCATCGCGCACAACGCACCCATGCATCACTCACACTGATAGTTCCGCACTGGCGAGGCGCAAGCTGGTGGCCACTTTTGCAACCCTCCCCATGCACTTGGGCTCCACACATCTACGCGCACATCCCTCTGACACACAGAAGCCAATGCCTGGACACAGGGTCCCATTCCAATGCTTTTTCAGGCATGGGACTACCGCACAGCCCAATTATGGCACTGAGAATGGCATTTGACTAATTCAAAATATCTACGCCCTGTGTTCAGATTTGCTCCCAAAGTTACACAACCAAATGATTAACATGCTCGCGCAATCTCGCTCCGATTCTACGATCCGGACATACGAACCAAGTTTCGAGCCTTCTGCACAAAAGTGAACCTCCAATTTCTTCCTGCATCCGACATGACCCTTGCGCTCTACCTGGTACACGCAATCCGACGCAAAGCCACCCTGTCCGTAGTGCAGCTGACGTGCTCGGCGGTCAGCTTCGCTCATCGCATGACTGGGAGCAAATGCCCGACGATCCCGCGACGTTTCTGAAAGGGTTGATCCCCATCTCCATGTACTAATGATTCTTGCGATATTCTGACCTGGCAGCCATAAAATGACAAGACATTCAATTCCACGACGAGGTCATGTGGATTCTCATACCACACTCCAAGACCGATCAGGCTGGTCATGGCACTTGGATTCCCATTGCAGCAACGGCAGACCCCTGTTGCCCAGTGCGCTGCACCCGACGCTTCATCCAACTGGCCGGCTCTGGCCCACGGTCAGAGGGACCATTGATTCGGGTCTTCGGCCACACTTCAACCAGCGAGGGCCAAGCAAGGCCACCTTCATACACCACGATCCGGAACTGGTGCAAGGAAGCCTTCGCAAAGGTTGGCCTTGAAGAGCTGCAGCTCGGCACACATTCTTTCCGAAAAGGTGCACCCACAGTAGCAGCCAACACGGGCATGCCAGACAGGGTCTTCAAAC